AAGAGGAATAATCCATGAGTGGATTGCATTCCCAGAATGCCAGCCCAAAGCACTACAGGATGGACCAGGCTACTACAGGTAAGAGAGATTTTCACTCAGACTCCTATCAGAGATGCTGAAAAAACAGCAAAGCACTCACATTTGCAGAGCTCTGCCAGTGTGTTGTGAGGGCCTCATGCTATAAATCTTGAAGATTTCTTCAATGGGAATGCTGTTCTGTGAAGACAGGTAAAGAGAGAGGTTCAGCTCTCAGAAGTAGTATTCTTTAAAGTGAATGTATGAAATCCTGCTTATATCACTTTCCTTTGATCTCTGAAACAGCTTCCATGTGAACTCCTAGTATTGCTTCATGTTTCATGCTGCTAGTAAAGATCTAATTCTGAAACTTGCTCACCATTTTGCACTTGGGTGAGACAAGATGTTACCTATACACACACATAGGACCACATACTGAAACTGCCTATTTTATTTTCTAAGGCTGAGCAAAACTTAATGGCTATCTGATAAAAATGAGATGGGATTTTAATATTTGCACTGTCTGTATACTGGGCTTTCAATGAACAAAGACATCCAGGGTGTGTTTCTAGACAGGTGCCGTAAAGCAAAAGATACTGCTATCTTTCTTGCCATCTTACCATTAATATTCCTGTGTATGAAGATAATATCATAGTTTCTCTCTCAATTCAGTTAGTATACGTGTATTGGTTGTGAGCTGCAAAATTCACGTATGGTGCTTTGAACAAGAAGATTATTAGCCTGGTGTTATAAATGCAAAAAGTAGTCCTGGGCTTGATTTACTGGTGCTTTTACTCCGTTTTCACACTGGTGTAATGCACTGCAATAGCAGGGCCTTAGCTTTGTAGTACTCACATTTTCTGTCTTGTCTGTGCAGTCTGAGCATCCAAGTCACTTAGTCACAGCAAAGTAACACTGAAGGCCAAGTTGTAATGGACCTAGAAAGACAGAAGAACCTTATGTGTTTTGTTTTACTGTAATTGCTTGGCTGAGGGATGACAGAAAGATCAGAGAAATGCAGGGAAACATGAGCTGGGGCACAGTATTGTCTCAGCTAGACTGGGTACCTTAGCAGTTGTAAGACACTTGCGGAGGTTTGAGGGGTTTTAAACACACCCAGGAAGACTTTCTCAGCTTAGCCAAAAGATGTTTTGTTATGTACAGACAGCTTTAGTTTGTGAGAATTCCCTTTGTTTAGTTGATTTGAACTTTATCAAATGTCCTCTGTGGATGAGCTTTGTCTTGCTGAAGAATCATCAAAAACTTGAATTATCTTGGATACATTACACCTGAATTATATTCACAGCAAATCTCTCTTTAGATATTCATTTCAGTGATGGGGTTTTATTGATCATTGTAGGAACAGGTTATTTAGCTGGGCCAAACAGCCATCCTTCAGATTTCTCAGCAGCCCTGCAGTTAAAGAGGACAGGAAGTAAGAAGCCTGGTGATTACCATGTCGTCTAGAAAGGTGGGCTGCCTTTGTCCTCATGGATCAAATTCATTTTCTTGTAGTCTGATACCAACATAATCTTCCCTTAAAGCAAGAAAATAACTCCAAATTACAACCGGTTCTAAGCAATACAGTAGATAAGAAATGCAATAGATGACTCTAAAGCAAGTGCAAGACTGGGGCTAACTTTGTTAGGATTCAGGGCTAGAAATCTGATGCAGAATTTCTCAGAGACACCTCCAAAGTAGAAAAGCTGTTAGTTTTCTGCATCACTGCTAATCTTAGCTTCCCTCAAACCACACAGCTGCCTTCCCCAAAGGCTCTAAAATACAGGAAGAAGTGCAAATATTAATCAAGTATGTAAAGTCTGGGGACACACAGAAAGATTTCACTGTTTGGCCAAGAGACTGAAAGAAATGCTTCACTGGTGCTTGTTCTTCTCATTCAGGGGAGGCCTGATTCTGTAGTATTTCCTCAGACTAAGTACTACTGATTCATGCAAGCAGTCCTAGGAAAGATGGGCACAAGCTTGTATGGAATAGAGGCGACACTGCTTACATCCCCTAGGAGTTGTCTGCTGGTCGCTCCTGCATCAAAGAGCATGAGACACTGCTGCATGAACTAGGAGATCCCTTACAGACAGCAGCCACACTGGCCACACGGCAAGGGAGGAACTGTGCACCTCCCTGGTCACTCCCGCCAACACACAGCAAGTTCTGAGTCAGGTCTCACACTACAGTCTGCATCTAAGAAAATGAAGAGCGCCTCAAAGAAAGTCTGTTCATACTTTCCAGCAAGAGAAGACTAAGGTTTTACAGTTGTCATCCAGCTAGGTTGTACAACCCTTTGCAATGAAGACAAGTCCATCTCAAATGCAATGAAGGCAGTTACTACTTACAGGACTTTTCCAATCTCTCTCTTCAGGCGTTTTCTTTCCATACTCTAGCTGTCACTGTAACATAAGCTCAGTGGGCTCTAGGAGAGAGAAAAGCACATCCTACCAAGTATCTCTGTCAGTGAGCAAATCTGAATCACAGAGAAAGAGTATGGAACATGTGGAGATCCCCTACAAAAATCTGGACAAAACCATTTCCCAGATGGGATTACATTAGAAACTAAGAAAAATCTAGTCAAGAAAGAGAAGACAACATGCACAGTACTGAAAGTGAGGGTAAGAAGTTTGGTAATAGGAAATGGACAGAATGATCCCACTTAAGATGAGCATCAGTCTTGAGTATCAGCTTGCAGGTTGCTTGCACTCCCACCACAGTGATGTATATTCTCTCATATAACACAATCTACTGACCTGCTGCCGCTTCTGAGTTTCTTAGCATATGGCTTGCCCTCCCCACTGTGTGTGTATTAATCAGATCTATGTGGTACAAAGAGGGGATGGACCGGAAAGAGGACAGGCTGGAAGAGGTGAGGTAACAGCTGCCCTGACAGAACATAGCAAAGAGAGAAGCCAGCACCCAGACCGCTATTTGTTGTAGTATCAAAGTGCATGCTTCACTCCTCTGTTCCATAATACACAAGTTAATAACATACCTAGTAAACTCTCTGTGCTACTGGATATTGTCTCCCTATTCTCTCTCTCACGTGTACACAAGAAATCTTGCACTACCTTTGTCAGCTCTTGGAATAGGCCTCAGGATCTGGGTATGGAGCCTCTCTGACTTCAGGTACCTATGAGGAGGAATTCCCTCTTGATGTTGCTGTTCCTTTCATGCCTCTGCCACCCAGTTTGTGTGTCAGGGAAATTAGGCTATGGCTTCACAGAGGACTGCAGCTTTCTCCTGTTGCTTAGAAACAATGCTGCTGATCTGAGAGAAATTAAAAGAAAAAAATCCAAACAACACAGAGAAGAGGTTAAACCTGCACCTTCAGGTTGTGTTATCAGTTTCAAGCTAAATGATCCTTTTACACTTCTAGGCATTGACTTTCACTGCTGAGTGGCTAGATGGAAACATACAAGACATGCTAACAAGGGAGGCAGAGACTATTCACTGGGTTTTCTGGTGGATCTAATTGCTTGTGAAAGAAACTATCAGCTTCCACTGTTCCAGCATTCCATCGCATGGCATGATGAAAAACTAGATGTGATACCTCCAAAGAACCCATCTGGGGTTCCATTTGCAGTGCTTATGGAATATAGCAAGGATCCTGCTACTTGTTATTTCATCAGAGTTGTATTTTCAGTTACAGTATTAGGAGAAATTCTAACAGCCAAGAAATCCCAACACAATTTACTAAGTCTTTATGTTGTCCTTCCAACGGATGCAGGGTACATCTTGCACAGGATTACTGATGGTAGCCAATGCATCATGATGTTTAACAAGTCAGGGAGACGCTATTGGATTTTGTCGATTAGGAAGGTTTGCAGGCCTTAGTTCTGAATGGAATGAGCCATTCCTCTCCTTGGGAATGTACTTATGTTATTAACTGATCATCTAATAAACAATAGGAATGGGTTTATGAGACACGATTATAATGTTGCCTCTATTTGTGATGGCCTAAAAAAACATAAAAGCAAATGTATTCTCATGAGACAGATGTTTTCCAGGAAAAAGCCTACTTGGTATTTACTGAATTTGTGCTGTGCTTTCTTTTCCTTATTTCATTTCACTGCTCTCTTTCCAAAGCCTGCGCTTTAAGCATGTGCCTAGGCAGGTGCAAGGTGGGGGCAGTGTGTGGGGGGGCAGTGGAGGGTGGCCCTGTGTTTGTGCTCTTCCTGTGGAGAAAAAAAAAAAATATTCAGGCACTAGTGGATGCCTGAGGAAGAAACAGAAGAGCCACACCAGTAGGCATCAAACTTTCTCAGTGTGTTTCCCCATTCTCCACTGATTTGCAGCTCAGGACCTTCTTAAGCAAGAAGTGTTGTCTTGGCAATTAATAGCCCTTAGTTGTTTTTTACTTCGACAGACTTGTCCAATCACTTTTTGAAACCTGAGTAATTGACATCTGCAGTATCACCTGGCAAAGATTTCCACTGTTTAAATAGGGCTGATTGGGAAAAGGTCTCTGTTTTTAAGCTGCCCACTGTTAATTTAATTTGCTGACTAATGTGCTTAATAAACTTAGTGAGAGCAAGTTTAGGCCCCTCAAACTGGAATTTGTCATGCATGGAGCACAGAATACGTATTAGAGAAGGATACTTAAGTCTTTCCCCCACACCATAGCATGTTTAATGCCAGTCACAGGTTCTCCAGAGCAAGAAATAAAGCAACAGGCAGATCTGTGTGTCTGCACTATCATTATCCACTGCAGGTCCAATTTTTAGAGCTGTTACAGAGGCTGTTTTGTCAATCCACTACTTAAGTTGAAAGGAATAAATATCTTTAGTAATTCACATTATTTAATGCTCATCATGTTTATGGCAGCACCTAGAAGCATTTTTATCAGCCTTGTTTGTATTGCAAATTCCCTCTGCACCTCCACTGTAAATTGCTATTTGGCTTTCTCCTAGCATGTTTAATTCCCTTAAAAAGTTTAACATCGTCTCAACAGCACATGCAATGCCAACTTTTTGAGGATGGATTCAAAGGTGTCTAGAAAGCAATGCATTCACTTGGACTGAAGCGTAAATTAATTGAAAAAAAAACACCCCACGTTTTAATAGGCTGCAAAATGCCACCTTTTCTCAGGTGAAAGCTGTAAGCCAGGTGCCGAATTCTGCGGACGAACAAACCCTAACTTTTGAGCGAGATTTGTCCTTCAGAACAGCCCTCGGGCTTTTCTGCGGCGCCTCCGGGGCAAGATGGCGGCATCAGCGCTCACAAGCACGGCCTCAGAGTTAGGCGCTTCCAGCCGAGAAGGGCGATGGAGCCGCGACAGCTGAGAAGGCGGCATTCCTAGCCCTTCCCCGTGAGGGCGGGCAGCTACCTCTCAGCGGCAGCGGCGCGACTCGGCCCGACGCGGTGGCGCAAAATGGCGGCGCAGCCTGACTGAGAGCGCGGGGGCCGCAGGCTCTCCGCACACGCCCCGAGGGACGGGGGAATCCACGTTCCCCACCCCAGCCGGCACTGGGGGATGGAGAATTTATGCGCCGCAAATCGCGCCCACTCCTCCCCGCGGCGGAATAGCGGGCACAGAGACACCACCCTTCCGTTCGCCGCCATCTCGCGGGGCGGGGCGAGGCGAGGGGGCGGGCTGCCCGCCATCCTGGTTGCATTCGAAAGTTCCCCGGCGGGTAGGGCTTTCTTTCCTCCTTTCCCCGCTTCTCCGCCCGCGGTGGGTGGCAGCCGCCCGCGGTCCCCCTTGCGCCGGAGGCTGCCACCCCGCACGCAGGGAGGCGGGGGGGGTCCGCCCGCTGCCCAGGAGCGCCGAGGGGCCGTGCCGGCCCGCGGTGGGCGAGGCCGCAGGTACGTTCCTCGGGGAGAGGTAAGTTTTGGCCGGTAGGTACTTGCCGACGGGATGGGCGTGGGTACTAACCCTGCTCGGTGTTGCTCTTTCCAGCTATGGCAGCTCGGGAGGCTTCTGAAACATCCTTCCTCAGCCTGAGTGATGTAAGAGAGCGGATGCGGGAGAAGAAAAAGGGTGTCTTGAGGACTGCGAAGTTGAATGCCTCGCTTGCGTCAAAAATCAAAACGAAAATCATTAGTGAGTGTATTTTGCCTTGCAGCGTGTACAGAGGCTGGCAGCTGCGTCAGTTCATAACTGTCTTTGGCCATGGCTGTGGTGATGGGGGGCAGTCTCTTACCCAGTGCTTATATTTAACAGCTGCTTCTCTGTGGGTTTCTAGTGAATTCAGTGCCACTTGAGGTGACCAAAGGTGTCTGATGTATTTGTGACAGGCAGGTTTAACCCAGAACTTTGGAGCAGCAGCTGGGGTTGTCACAGTCTGCTCAGCATCATCTCAGATGGTGTTAGACAGCTGTGTCTGGGTAACCGAGTCTTCAGGTTCCAAAGAGCAAAAATAAGAGGTGTGGAAAGTATTTTAGCGTATATGCAATCCAGTGCAGAAGCTAGCCCAACTGTGATTTGTTTATATGGGGTGTTTATATGTTTATAATGCAGTGATAGTGCATGAGATAATTTGGACTACCTTGAAAAAGTCAGATATTTCTGTTCCTTTTATTTATTTGTTTTGAAATGGGGAAACAAAGATCTAAATCTGCTCAAGGGCTACTACAGAAGAAAGTAGGGGTTTCTCCCTCTTTGGATGGAGATGGCAATAGGTGACTTCTTCAAAGTTAGAAGTGTATGTTTTTAAACTCAGCATCTGAACCACACCATCATTCATTAAGAATTGAAGCAGTAGCTTGCAGACTGAGCATGACCCACTGAGGATGAAGAGGGTGTCTGTCTGAAGCGATGCAGGTTATTATGGAAAGGTTTTCCTGCTGTTCTCTGGGGGCTTCTGTTGCTGGAAGGAATTACACTGTTGATTTTGTGTGGGGACTATTGAGTTGTAGAGATCTGAGCCTGAGGGAGGCTATTCTGGGAAGAGGTATGGATGAGACCTTGGATGCTGATTCTGTGAGATATTTCTCTATCCCTTACAGACAACTCCTCCACTATTAAAGTCTCCCTAAAGCACAACAATAAAGCACTGGCCCTCGCCCTCAATGCAGAAAAAGCCAATGCACAGCGGCTTACTCAAGAGAAAACCATCTTACAGAAGGAGGTGGAGCAGTGCCACTTCCAGAATGCTATGCTGCGGCACAAGCTCTCTTTCCTGGTATGGCATTTAACAGTGTGGCTGGCATGGGGAGGGGAGATGGTCAAAGTATGCAAAGTACCAACCCTGAGAGGCATGAGCTGTCACCGATTGTCCATACTGCATATGAAAAATATCATCATTGATTTGCTCATTCTTTCTTCAAAGATGTATTCTTTCCAGAACATGCCTTGCTTTGGCCACCAGCATCGTTGTTGGAATAGGTCTTTTGATTAATGTCTCTATATCTCTCTCTATTACCTCAACATAGAATAACACCTTTAAAGAATTTGAAAACCTTATGGCTGCAGTTAAGATGGCCCGGCTGTCTGAGGTAAATCTTGGGAAATGCGAGCACACTGCTCTGGGAAGGGGGCTGTGTCTGTTGCTGTCTTTTGCTTTGTGTTGCCTGCTCACTTTAGTGTTTGATGCATCAGCTCTTTTTCTTTGCTTGCTTGAACTGTGTTGGCTGCATCTCCATTTTAGCTTGGTGTTAATGATTTCCAGGGTAACTTCTTCTATAGGAAAGGCTACGGTTTTAAACTGCCTTCCTCTGGGTCATTAGCTGTGATGGTCAGAGGCTCCTCTGCTATGACAGGTTGTGACTTCTTTTCAATTTATTTTTTTAAGTGTTGCCGTGGCAACTTGGGATAGGGAATAGGACATTTTCCATATGTCCTGTCTCATGGGTGGATGGGAAAGTATTCCTGCTCCCTAGTCTCATATTGTCTGAAGTAGTTTAACATCATCCTTAAGCCTGTGGAGATAGAATCTGACTCTACTGCAATTTATTCCATAATTTGTGCAATTTTAAATGAGACAGTGTCACTGGCAATATTTGACATACTTTCCAGGGTGAAACTGAGCTGCTGTTTCTGTATAGGAGGCTGCACAGGACATTGCAAGAGCTTTAAACCACCCTTCTATTTCTCTGCTTTCCAGTTCCATACAAGTTTTGCATCCTTGTCCAATGACCAGATTGTCAGCATGACTGAAGATAGCTGGGCCGATGATATTGCAGATGGTCAGCTTGTGAGGTAGGCCTTGAAATGTCAGATACCACCAAGCTCATACTGAATTTCTATATGCTAAACTTTCTCTTGTGTTTTACATGTGTGCCCAGTTGTCTGTTTTACATGAGAGATCTCCAAACCACCATTGCTTGATGTTTTCCTTTATTCTTTGTCTTTCTGCTGTCACTCCTTCTCTTATTTGTTCTAATGCCAGGTCTATGCATAAACTGGTCCTTCTCCCTTCTTTGTTTCAAAATGCATTGCTTTTGGGTAGTTTTTCCTTTGCAGCTGATGAACACTGCAAGAATTCCTAGAGTGAGTGAGTGCTATAGCTGGCTGCTTTGATGTTTGTTACATATAAATGCTTAAGAGTCATCTGCCTGTATGATGTAAACTTGTGTTTTGGACAGAAGATCAGACTAGTATCACTTAAAATACATTTGAAGTTCTGTTTCTCCTCCATCTTGTCACCCCTTTCAACACAGGGGAGCCTTTGGAGCTGCTCACATACATACCTCCAAGCAGCTGTGTCGGTGATCCACAGCGAGATGAACCTGTGGTCACAACCCGTGCACTGGAAGGCCTTACTTCCTTGTTGCCTCAGTGTATTTTTTATCCTGCTCTGTGTCCACAGCAGCGTGCTTTCCTTACGAAATGGGAAATCTATCCTGGCTGGGCAGTGTGTGTTCTTCACTACTTGAAGCCTTCAAAAATGTATTTCAGCAACTCTTGATGGAGGTGAAGGCTGGATTCTGGGGCCTGTTACAAGTATGGAACGTGCTCCATTGCTGTTATTCCTTCTCACCAGGGCTGTAGGGATGCCAATGAGGGTGCCTGTTTCCAAGCTATGTGATGCAGGACAGCAAGATAGGTGCTCCACAACAGTACAGACATCCTCGGTCGCTCTTCGGAGACCTGCTTCTAATCAGTCCCTGGAAATTGTGCCTGTTGCCTCCAAAGACACTTTGCAACCACAGTCTGCTGAGAAGTCTCAGTGCTACCAGGAAGAGAATGGGAAGAAGGCAACTGAAGCAATGGAAGCACAAGAGGCTTTTCTTGATTCTTGCATCTTTGGAGGTAAATTTGTACCTTCTCTTGCTCTTCCAGTATGACTTTGCATGTCTGTGTTCATAAATGAATGAGTGCAGTGCCATAGCTCCGTTAGCTCCTAACCGTCACTCCAGCAGCTCCTAAAGACTGTTAGAACTGCATGTTTCAGTGACACTGATATTGCTAGAATGACATATATCCCAGAATGGAATGTCTTGGTTCAGATATTTGGCATGTTTGTTTGCAATAGCTCAAGGTCACTCAGGCTTTCTGAGTAATGGTCACTGAGTTTATGTTAGATTTTCAGAAAAGTCTGAAGGTGCAGAATCTCACTAGATGCATATCTTCTGTTCCTCGTGGAATTGCCATATAAATAATAACTCATGCAGATCATGAGCATTCTTAAATGTTAGGGCTGCTTAAGGGATCTTGCACTGGGCTGCCTTTCTGTTCTGAGGGGAGCTAGCTGAGCAATTCTGTTACACAGTAAGTCTGGGGAGTCCCTGCAGAGACTTTGTGGATTTGTGGCAGTGTGTGGAGCATGGCTTTTAATGATATGGGGAAAGCTGGCACTTGCTTACTGCATTTTTCAGTCTTAGGAATTAATTTTGTCTTTCCAACAGAGGCCTTGTGTGCTGCCCAACAAAATCACAACAATTTGCCAGCGCGTGCCTGGGAAAGTCATCCTCTTTCATATGAAGGCAATGAAATGGCAAAGCATCTCTTTGATCGTCTCTCACAAGGGCATGTTACTCAGAGGAGAAAGCGTTCCACCCTGTTTGCAACAAGCACTCCATCTTCTGCTGTGGGTACCTTCCCATGTGTCAGTTCCACTCAGGCAGCTCAGTGGAGTATGACAAAGCACAGCAGTGGCTCCAGCAAGAGCAACACACAGCCACAGCTGGAATCTCCCATCTCCCTGGTTTCACCTACTCAAACCACTGTTATTCCTGATAGAAAATCTTTGGGTAAAGAGATTTTCTGTGATCAGCCACAGGCTAAAGAAACTGGGTATGGTATTGAAACAGACCCCAGCTATAGCCATGTCCCTGAGTTTTTTCCTGTAAAGGCTAAAAGCAAAGGTAACTGTAAAACTTGCAACAAAACAACTGTTAAGAAAGCAAGCACAGGAAAAAATAAAACAAATGCAATTAAAAATGATGCAGAAAGTAGTCCTGACATACCTCAAGGTGAAGAGAGTGCTCAAAATGTGAAGAAGCGTCTTCAGCCAAAAGTTGCAACATGTTCCAGTGAGTCTGAAGTTTCTGAGAAGAGGCAGAAGGCTTGTGTGAAGGTTTTCAACAGGAAGAACAGAGGCTATGGTGCGGAGAAACATTCCTGCTCTCCTGATGAAGTCCAAGATCACAGAAAAACATATGTGGTAAAGCCAGCACAGCTGCACAGTCTTGGAAGTGGTGAGTTACTGGAAGAGGTTAAGAAGGAAGCTATCTTTGAGAGCCAAAGTATGGAGAGCTTGTCAAAAAGCCCCGTTTATACCTTCTCAAGTCATGACATTCCCACGGATGATTGCAGTCTACGAAATTCACTCTTCTTGAGGAAAGAGACCTCGAGTGCCTGTTCTTTGCAAGACGACTCAAGTGTGAGCGCAAAGAGCATCAGACAGAAAACCAACAAAAAAACTAGAGTAATTAGGCAAAGAGATGACTCTGAGGAGGAGAATCTGCCTAACAGTGTGAAAATACCAGATGCGAAAGCTGAAAAACAGTCTAAAAGAAGCCAGACAAGCCAGATGACAACAGTCAGGAAAAGCAGTTGTAGTGATCAGAGAAATGAAGTTGATGTTTTTGGGCCATGTATAGATGTCCAAGCAGTAACTAAGGAGAGCGCAAAGGACTCACCAGGTAATCTTAAATGTAGCAGGAAAACTTACATTGTCAGTCATTTGGATCTTGTGGGAAACTCTGATTGTCTCCAGACAGATTTTGAAGGGGGTGAAATTATACCTCTCAGGTCTACTCCTGGGAGAAAAGCTAGCAAAATCCCCAGAATTCAGAGGATTGTAGCTGCTCAGAGCAATAAAAAACAGATAGGGGGCCTTCAAGAAAAGAGGCAAGCTGAAGTTGACAACAACATGAATGCTTCAGAAAAAGAGGCCTATCCCAAACCGAAGACTCAGAAGAAGAGAAACACCTCTAGACCTCCAGAGACTGATTCCCTGGCCAGACAAAGTGATGGTGCCAAGGTGCTCATTCGAAGTTCAGCAGAACTTGCATCCAAGCAAACTGTCCTGACAGGGAAGCCACCTTGCCTTACAGATCTGCTGTCTGACCCCAATGCCTTCCTGGAGCAGATAGCTGAGATATCACTTACAAATAATCTTATGGACCTTTCACACAGTCCTGAATCCTCCTCTGTGACCTGTTCTGGAGCTTCGCCTGTCAGCTCCAGGCTTACAGATGTATCAGTTTCCAAGAGCTTAAGTACTGAGGACAACAGAACGCCAGAGAAATCCCCTGTTTGGCCAGAAGGCTCCCTGATATTTAAAGAAAAGACTGCAGAGGAAATACCTGGGGAAAGAAACCAGGTTGAGTCAAGTTCTTGGAACTCACCTTCACGGGAACCTGGTAGGTGGTAGGGCTGGGGGAAGGGACCTGTGTTTGGAGATGAGTGCCAAAAATCCATGCAGCAAATGCTTTTATTTTTCTTCCTCTCTTCTCTTTTTTCAGAGTTAAAGATCAGTGTCCAGCACACCATTTATGCTTCCACTTGTGCTGGCCAGTCATTTTTGTGGCTACATTTGCGTATAGTTTATCAGCATTCCTATAAGAATTTCTCGTTACTTGTCCATGTGTGGATATTGGGAAAAGACTAGGAACGTGTGCTGCGAGTCTTGTTTTATCACTCTTACTATCTATGGGACATGCCTCTCAATTTAGAAAATCAATTACTCAAGCACTTGAAAGATATAATTTGATGCTGACCCTGCCTACTACAGTCAGTGTTATTGGGGCACAGAATATGATGGAAGATGTCAGGTTTTTGGTCCAGAATGGTTAATGATGCAAGGTTTCAGACTATAACTCTAGGTTGTATCTTCACTGGAAATTCATCAGCAGCTGCCTAAATTCTTTTGGTTGTATTTTTTTGGTTTGTTTTTAAAAGGGTTTGAAGGGTGTATCGTCCCTTGGCTGGTAATACAGTAGTTAATGTGAGCCTTTGTGGGAGCTTGCTGTTATTGGATACTCTGTAAAGAGAGTTGTTTTGTGGGGTTTTTCCTTCCTGAAGCTGTTGACAAACAAGCCTGTTATAGCCAGAGTGGGCTTTACTTTATAGAGAGGAAGTTTGTTCTCCTGCCCTCTCCCTCTTGGCTGACTTCCCTTTGAAGGCTGCAGTGAACAGTGGTGGGGTCCTGTGTCTTGATGGAAGTCTTGTAGGTTGTTTGAATGCCATAATCTTGCTTCCTCCTCCAGGCTGTAAGCTCCTGGGCATTAAGTATCAACTACCATTTTTGTGTCATTTTTGTACTACACCAGGGCCCAATCATGCTAACAGTATTAGTGACCTGTATTTTTATAGTGAGGAACCTAATTCGATTCATGAGCTGACTTTTGAGGAGCAGGTCTGGGATTTTTGGACAAAAATGGTCTCCTGAGTTTAGAGGGAACATGATTGGATTCAGGATTGTGCAGTGTTCAGAGAAACCTAGTAATGCAGCCGTTCTCTATTTGGCAGCTGTATTTCTTGGGATATCTGGAAATTATTTGGAAACACTTTGATCAACTCGTGTGAATATCTCCCTTTGCAGAGATCAGGCCACTACAGGACTTGACCAATGCCGGGACTGTGGTTTCCTCCAGCTCGGAAGAAGGGCCACGGCGCTTATCGAGGCGGAGACGGGACCCAGCCTGCTATGCAGAGCCAAAACTCAACAGGTTGGGCTTTAAATTATTCCTTCCCGTGACTGTTCCCATGCTGCCACTCCCTGCTCTGCTCTTGTATGCTCACTCTCCAGGGCTGGACCCTCTGCCACTTTGTCTTTAAGTTACTCTTACCCTTTGTGTTTCTGTGACCCTCATGCCACAGTGTGGTTAAGCCAAAATTCTGCATTAGACAGATGCATGTGCAGGTTTCTGATAACACACTACCAAAGATGTTATTTTCCTCACTGAAATAAGCACATCTCGTAGCAAACTGCATCTGTGGTATTCCAGTGCTAATGAGGGATTAGCGTGAGGATAAAATCCAGGCTAAATAAAGACAGGTATGTGAAAGCCCTGATTTCACTTGCTGCCTTTCTGTGATATCTATAGTTTTAGATAACAACTGAGTAACACTCCATTTTAATCGGGTTTCAGTGAAGGTGCTAGGTTTTGAGGAGGGTTCTACCCTGTGAGCAGGCTCTATCTATATTCACTTTTTCTGGCAGATATGAATACCTAAACAAGTAGCTGCATCTTATCCCTAAGAAACTATAAATTCAGTACATCCAATGGCTACTGTACAGAACCATATAACTCCTAAAATGATTATTTTGTTGTTATGCTACTGAGTAATACTGTGGGTTTTTTCCTGAAAAGTGTCACAATTTGAACTTTCTGTGAGGACTTGGGTCAGAAGGTACTCTACTGGTACAGCTGTTCCTGTACTGGACAAGGAACAAACTGTATCACTTAGTCATCTTATAGTGGAAGTGTTTCAGTAAAATCAGAAACTTTAAAGACTGGTGTCATACATGTGTTCAAGAAATAACTTGATAGTTCAGTCTAATCCTTTTGGTTCCGCAGGAAACTGAGGCAGGGTGACCCATTTACAAGCATGGAGTTCCTCAACTCCCCTGTCTACAAAGTCAAAAAGAAGAGAACTGCCAAAGCCAAGGAAATGACAAAGAAGATCAAAGAGGACAAAGAATGGCTTCACAAAGGATGTGCTGTGCCACAGCAGGCAAGCTAATAACTACGGGAAGAGTCATGGAGCCAGAAGTAAAATAGTGGTGGAACAGGCAGCCTCCAAGCTCCTAGGAGCTTGTCCATTTTTGCTAGAATATCTCTGATGTTTTGCATAGCTTATTTTTTATTTTAGTTTTGAAATAAAGTCTGCTATGTGGACAGTGTAAAAGCTTCATGACATTTATTCCCTGCCCTGTCTTCCTCCACCTTTAGATGCTGGGGTGCTTGTCTGCAAAGTCTTTGTGCACAAGTGCTTGTGGTACTACAGCCAGCTAGCTGGCTCTGCTAGTTCTCTCCTGGCCCTATGCAAGCCAGGGGCGAGTACACCTTGGAGGCCTGATCTGGCATGGCAGATGCCTACAAGGACTGCTGAAAGGGTGTGAAAGGGTTGCAGCAGCCCAGGCTTTGCCAGCAAGCATGCTGATATACTACCTAGCATTACCTCCCGTGAAAGGTGGCTTCTGTACAGGTAGAGCAGTCCATGGGGAAGTCACAGTTAGGGTTGTAGTATGACTTGCCTGACTGGCACAGTAATTTGAACTACTGAGGTCAGAAGCCAGGCAGGAACGTGGATCTCCAGATGTTCCTGATGATTGTTTCTGTTGCTTCCATGGGCCAGAAATGGGACTTCTTCTAGCCGCACTTCTTACACATTTGTGTTAATAACAATACCAGACTACTGTGTTCATTTGTATTGAAGGCACAGTGACAGCTGCTAACAGTTGTAGAGCTGTTTCAAGCACATGCTCATCCCAAAACAAATGTTAATACCAGCTGATCTAGTCTAACATTGCATTTCTATCCTAACCAACACTTATACCTAAGTCAGCTTCAGGGTTTCTGATCTTTGTTGAGTGGTGATACATTAGTTTGAGTTTATATTAGTCCCAAAATAAAATTTTAACTGCAATAGTACCTTTAAATTCTTGTACGCTACCTGATGCTTACTACCACGCTCCAGATCACATCTTGCCCTGGGTCAGAACAAATAAAAATTCTAAGGGAGAGATTATTTTGTTATTAGATGGCATTCTAACAGTCTGTCCCAGTCTGTACAGGACTGTCCTGAAAGGTACTGGAGTCTCTCAGAGGCAGAATTTCCCGATATCTACTAATCACACAAAGGAAAGAGATAGACAAAGAATGTTAGACTTTTATTTGAAAAAAAGCCCACACACAAAACCATGGATGGAATAGTTTTTCACAGTCATAATCTGACCTGCTGTATCACAAAAGGAAGGGTAGTATTAGCCCAGACAACTGGAGGAAAGTTTTGCACCTTTACGAATTGTGGGGTGGGGGAAGAGGTAACGGTTCCTATGCTTCACATCCACTCAGAGGGAGTATAATTAAATGCCTAGCCTGCAGTTAGACTCTGCAGCACAGCTTTATTAGGCTCTTAGCCTACTGGGCTTGTTTCTAGCGTTTCCTAAGTGCTTCTCAAATGCTACAGTCCTGACTAGCAATGGGACCAACTCCCTTAGTATCAGGATACTATGCTCTGATTGGCACTAAAAGATAAAATAAGATTGGGGCTGTAGTAGAGCTGGCTTAGCCCTGGGAGCTCACTTCTAGTCAGTGGACAGTACTGGAGAGATGAGGACGGTTCTGATTTCTAGGGTCTGTTGTACAGTAAGTCACCACTGGTTTGACCAGAGCTGTGACACAGACTGTCTTTCAGCCTGAGAGGAAGAGAGAAAAAACCCCACTGATCATAAAGTCATGGACAGAAACCTCAGGTCTGCTGTGAAGGACATTAGGAAACCAGACTCACATTGAGCTTGAATACTATCACATTCAGCTGCTTAGCAAAAGTAAGGCCTAGCCCTGCAGCTCAAGGATTTAAGAAAACGTGGTCTTTTATACCTTTAAAAAAGTGTTCATGTTCATTTTTGTCTATTATTTGAAATGTTACACAACAGTGTGATACAGTGCCACTTACATTCTGGTGTAAGTGGGAGACGCTTTGTTAGTGGAGCTTGAGTAGAACCTGTGCCTTAGAGTTTGGGCAGAGAGGCCAGCTTCCCCTTCAAGTTTTCAGCAAGCTTGTCCATGAACTCAAAGGTGTTCAGGTAGTCAGAGCGTGTGACACTGAGAGGGGGGAAGGAAAACAAGACAGACATTAGTTGTGAAGCCATTCAAACAGTAAGCAGGGGAAAACTGTTCAAAGAACTCCAAGTTTTGCCCCTAAAAGAGTTATCTCCTACTTATAAGGCTGATTTTTTTTTACCAAAAAGCTCCAGAGAAGAGGTAGCCAGGTAGTATTTTGCAGTGAACTAGGTCTCCATCCTTGTAGATGAACAGGGCAGGATCTGGCTAATGTAACCAGCCTGTTGTAAGAGACATCTTTGCAGTTCCTCCTTTATTTTTCTCCCTGTGCGTTCGGTACAATAGCAGAGACAGAGCAACCTAGACTAAGCTACTTGGGGCAAGGAGTGTCTCATGTTGTTTGTACAGCATAGATGAGCCCTGCTCTGTGACCAGACTCCAGCAATTCTTCACAATACTAAGATAACTTTCCATCAAGTGCTGTTCAGAAAACACAAGTAAAACAGCCTCCTCCAAGCACAGCTGATTACTTCACACACTTACTTAGGCAGGCCTTTGATACACGCAGCAAGGTCCTTGGTCATGAAGCCAGATTCGATGGTCTCAATGCAGACTTCTTCCAGGGCAACTGCAAAGTTCTTGAGGCTAGTGTTGTTGTCCAGCTTTGCTCTGTGAGCTAGTCCTCTTGTCCATGCGAAGATGGAGGCTGAGAGAGAACACTAGATTAGCCTGTCCTTCTAGAACTCCCTGGACATTGTTCTAAACTGTCATGTGGAACAGTAACTAATTTTTAATATTAATAAAACTGAAAACAGACAGAAAAAAAAAAAGAAAATCTGTTATGGGAGGAAAACATTTATCTTCATCTAGGCATCCTTTACATTTTGTGCAGCTCTAAAGAAAAGCGAACCCTGAAAACTACTCGCTGCCTCAAGCAATCTCTTTGTGCATGCCATTCTACATGATTCTGTTCCTGCTCAAGTTGGAAAGAATGACCAGTGGTAGCACTCTGTGGTTACACAGGAAGGTGTCCTTATGATAGAAAGGTGCAGTTGTCTTCTTGGTATTGCATTACACTCTGGTCCTTACGCAGTTGTAGGGGATTCTTTCCCTCATGTCCTATTCTAGGTGCACTTGCACTTTAAATATATGCATGTTTAGGCGTTGGATGTGTCTTTTGGTGCATTAGGAAGGGGAGTGAAATAAAAACCAACCAACCTAAACCTTAAGGCTGTTGTGGCTATAAACCCGTTGTTTGCCAAAGAGTGAGCGCATGTCTCAAAGGCTAGGTTGGGTCTAGCTTATGGCTCACACTCACTCCATTCCAGCCTGGTTTTGCTCCAGGCTGCAGCTGTCTCCATGGAAGAAAAATACATTATGAACTACCAGTTTCACCCCTTAGGGGTGCAATTCTCTGCAGAAAGGATGCAGATGTTCTTACTCCAAACCTGTTCTTTCATGTGTAGAGATCACTGAAGGGCAGCTCACCAATGGGGTTAGTGGAAGTTTCTTGACCTTTCTGGTGCATGCGGTAGTGACGAGTAACTGTGCCATGAGCAGCTTCTGCTTCAACAGTCTTGCCATCAGGGCAGATCAGCACACTGGTCATCATCCCCAGAGAGCCATAACCTATAGAATGCACAGTTTAAAAAGTTCAGCATCTCCTTTGGACAGCCTCCTTAAATTCCCTCATCCTACAATCCCCGTACATTCTCCAAGCCCTGATGTGAGTATTCCTGAACAGCAACTGTTGCTGCTGCAACTAACTGGCTAGTTCTGACATGTCAAAATGACAGCTCATCTGAACAGAAAGTGCTGCTGAATCATGAGATATAGATATGCAGACATTCTGCACCACTTCAAGAAAATTAGTATTCTCAGATAACTTGCTGGACAGATTTTTGCTGAAAAGGTGCAGTATGAGAACAAAGAATCCTAAATAAGTAGTGTTGGGCTGCCAATCGCTATCTTCACCAAAGGGTGATAGGAAACAAACCTACTTCATATCAAGGGTATTTGCTCTAGTGAAAGGAGCCATGACCTGGAAAAACTGGACATTCACATCACTTCTAACCCTGTAGGTTTCAGAGATCTGTCTCTGAAAGCTTCTTTGTTCACTAGTCCAGCTCACATCCTTGTTCTGTGGGAAACAGTTTACTGGCATTACTTTAGAAAGAGCATACTACATAAATCTTGTCCTGTGAGTTTCTGCATCCATATTTATTTTGGCAACAGGCAGCTTGGTTATATAGGATTTTGATCAAGCAGTACAAGTCTGTAAAATTAAACATGTCAATCTTTCTTTACACCTGACAGGTAGCTTTAGGTCCTGAAGGTTTACTTAGTTATCTGTAGAGCACCTGCCAGTATGCTCAACACCAGTCAGCCTAAGATGTAATGACAGAATCCCAGCTGTCTGGATACCTTCCATTAGAATGGAAAGCCTATTCATTATTATGTTGGTAGGAACTGCCATCTGGTAAAGAAGTGCAACTACACATTCTGCCTTCAATGGATTTTCTTGTAGAAGTGCATTCAGAAATTCTTTGCCTGCCTGGTATCTTCATGACTGGCCACTGGTTTGAAATGGAAGTTCTGAGAACCAACACTACTTCCTAGGCCACTACATAAGATGTGATACAAGAGACTACTACTGAGCCTACTTCAGTGTATCCCAGGAAACATCTCATACCTTGCGCAACAGAGTCAGACTGCACATCCCCATCATAGTTTTTGCAGGCCCAGACAAAGCCTCCTTCAGATTTCAGGGCCTGAGCAACCATGTCATCAATGAGCCTATGCTCATACCAGATCTTTTTGGCTTCAAACTGGGACTTGTATTCTCTGGAAAACAAAAACCAGAACACCTTGTCATATAGATAAAAACAGGGATTGCACAATTTGTGCAGGTCATTGTGCACAGCAAGGTACATAGAGATAAGAGTAAAAAAAACAAACCAAACTTTAAAAATTTGTATCATTTTAACTCTTTTTTTCCTTGCTGGCTTTGCTAGGCCACTGCAAGTCTGCTTCAAAATCACAGAGGAGTCCACAGTGACTGTTAGGAGAGATGAACACCACAGCCACATTTAGCAGAGCTTCAAACAATGAGTAC